GGTTTCGGATTTTTCTTGCTTACGGCTACAATTCGATATATGGTACGCTCAAAATGGATAACGGGTGAATGGAAAATTGATTCTCGAAGTTCACTCGTTGAAATGGAGAAAAACTAGGAAAAATGTGAGTTTCTAGTGTGGTTTTTTCCCACACGGGAAAACCCAAGAGAATTTGAACCCTTTATATAGGGAAACCCGCCTAAGGAGTTAATATTCCTGAAGGGAAAGGCTCTCTCTCGCGCGCGGGGGTAGGGGGTGCGAATCAAATCCCGAAACCGGAGAACAAAATGCGCGAATTGCGTGCGCGGGCGACCTACGGACACGAATGTCGTCCGAAAATCTTATCTTCTAAAGATAACTTTAAGTTTATTTTTGTTCTTCCGTTACATTCCTATTTTATTTTTTGCTCCATACTGAACTGAAATGTTGCAGTATAAATGTCCAACGTTCATGGCCTTAATGCACACGAAATGAACTGTTTTTGGCTGGAATCAATGCCCAACGTTTAGGACATTGTAGTCCAACGTTCATGAGACTTAAACAGCCATTAACACACCCAAATCCTCCTCAATAAAAGGCTGGTAGCTGCTTTGCAAACATACAAAATTTCACAAATGTACTGCACCTCTCTTTAGCTCGAAAGAACCCTCCAGCCATCTCTGAAAATTTCTTCTATGTTCCGACTTTGCACTAATATTTAAAATGTTTTTAAAATTTGGAATGAGACAGGACCTAGCTTGACCCCCTAACTCTGCCTATGACACACCTTTCAAATGAAACTGTAAATTTGAAAAATGGATGCTCAACTGATTCTAGACTAGATCAGAGTAGCAAAAACAGCAGGATCTTCCATATCAATGTAGAATATATAGCTGGCTACTTCGCTTTCTATGGGGTGGCTGACTGGCTGTTGTATTCCTCAAGCATATCATAACCAAAGGATAAAGCTTTTCAATATGAATGTCAACCAAGCTAAGGCTTGCTATTTCTTCTTTATCCTCATAGCATCATAGTTCAGTGACACACCACGAGCCTAGCTAGCCTTTGAACACTTTTCCTTCAGTTCCCCCAACAATGCCTTCTCCAGTTCTGATCGATTTCTTAGATGTAGTAGAGGGAAAGCTAGCCTCAATGTCAGGAATTCAAAGATAGAATGATATATGTCTTGACTAGTTGACTTCTATACTTTGTCTTAGCAAAACTATTCAAGGAGTATATGACTTGACTTATAGCACTACATGCATGTTTGGTAGGCATAAATGCCTACTTTCTAGCTTTTGTATTGTTTAAAAATTCTCTAACAGTTTCAAATTGAATGTTTGGCATGCCAATTTTTTTTACAGTGAGTAGCAAAAGTGTGTAGCTTTTAGCATTAATTAATCTCAAGAGCTTGCATGCCAAACATAACTAAATCAAATAGTCAGTTTTTTTATCAAACAACTACCACATTTTCTTTTAAGATTTTTTCAGTCATTAAAAGCTGACAGTTACTAAAAGCTTACCGTTACTAAAAAACTTATACAAATGTCTTTTCGGCTTGTCATGTATTTAAGGAGTATATGACTTATTAGTTCTTTGGGCTTATTAGTTTCTTGGAGTTCTCTAGGAGTAAACAAAAATTAAATTGCAAGAATTATGAGAAAAAGTTTTAAATTCCCATCATAGGAGTAATGAGTATTCTTTATGCCAATTCTACCCTTAACATACTTTAATATTAAAAAATTGTGGTTTTATTTATAAAAATCATAAAAGTAAAAAACTAGGCTGACATCTTCTGCCACTGCGCGCCGCCGACACCATCTAGGACCAATACTATTGACGATGAGCAAAAAAATGTCAATATTTTTCTCCAAATGCGAACTTCAACCAATAACGTTATCTTAAATTCTTAATGATATTGTTGGAAAATGTGATAATAAATTGCATTAAATGGTCATTTTAGGGCAATTTTTTGAGTGGGGTCCACTTCCGATTTGGATCGGGTCAAAGTGGTTTCGGATTTTTCTTGCTTACGGCTACAATTCGATATATGGTACGCTCAAAATGGATAACGGGTGAATGGGAAATTGATTCTCGAAGTTCACTCGTTGAAATGGAGAAAAACTAGGAAAAATGTGAGTTTCTAGTGTGGTTTTTTCCCACACGGGAAAACCCAAGAGAATTTGAACCCTTTATATAGGGAAACCCGCCTAAGGAGTTAATATTCCTGAAGGGAAAGGCTCTCTCTCGCGCGCGGGGGTAGGGGGTGCGAATCAAATCCCGAAACCGGAGAACAAAATGCGCGAATTGCGTGCGCGGGCGACCTACGGACACGAATGTCGTCCGAAAATCTTATCTTCTAAAGATAACTTTAAGTTTATTTTTGTTCTTCCGTTACATTCCTATTTTATTTTTTGCTCCATACTGAACTGAAATGTTGCAGTATAAATGTCCAACGTTCATGGCCTTAATGCACACGAAATGAACTGTTTTTGGCTGGAATCAATGCCCAACGTTTAGGACATTGTAGTCCAACGTTCATGAGACTTAAACAGCCATTAACACACCCAAATCCTCCTCAATAAAAGGCTGGTAGCTGCTTTGCAAACATACAAAATTTCACAAATGTACTGCACCTCTCTTTAGCTCGAAAGAACCCTCCAGCCATCTCTGAAAATTTCTTCTATGTTCCGACTTTGTTCACATTCATTGGAACTCTAGTTTGACTGGTAAACTATCGTTCGTAGTCATCGTATCCTGCGAAACGATCGTTGCAACGCTCCTAGCACCCCGGGAGGCAACATATACGTTTTAAGGAAATCGTGCGTAGCACGAGCTTTGACTAGTTTCTGCTCCATCTTTTTTCTTGTTTTTCTTTTGATCGTTTATTTAATTAATTCTTATTAATTATATTTCTTTGTTTTTCGAAACACACCCAACAGACATTTCCAACTAGATGAAAATATGACATTTTTAAAGAATAATAATGCTATCCTTATAGCATTCTTAGAGTATAATTTTGGTATTTTTAAAAAATAAATAATAAAAAAAGCGTCTCAAATTTTGAGCTAGAACCTGCAATGAAACAGAAGAGTTGAAGAGAGAAAAATAGAAGAGAAGGAGGATAAGGAGAAGGAAGGAGGAGAGAACAACGAGCTACTTCACTTAGGCCACCAGATTTGGATACACTATTAGTAGACGCTTCCTAGCTCGATGGTCGTCGCTGGTCGCTACACCGAGAAGCTCGTCGTTACAGGCTTACAATCGATAATGATGAGCGGAGAAGAAAGTATCGCCCTTGCAACCTGAGAGAGATGATGAGCACATCGGAGAAGATGATGAACAATGTCTATTGCAGTATGCGATTGAAAAAAATTGAAGGGTAATTTGGAAAAATAGTCTTACTTAGGGAATAAACTATACTTATGTCGAATTAAAAAACTATTTACGTAAACAAAGCTGGGTTAAAAGCATTTACAGATCTACTGCTGGGTTTAACCTGGGTTATGCAAAGTCGCCAAACGGTTTGGTGACTTATAAGTCGCCAATCGGGATGGAGACTTATAAGTCGCCAAACTGTTTGGCGACTTTGCCCCTGCACCTGCAAAACCAAAAAAAAATCAAATAACAAATAAAAAACAGAACAAAATTTGACAGAAACATGGCAGTGCACTTGGTCACAACACATCGACACATCATAAACAAGTGATTAAGTAACTAATAACATAATATCCAATAGTTTGTCATGGCTTTGTCCGTGACAAACATAAAAATTAATCTTTTTGAAACTTTTGTCGCGGATTCTATTCGTGACTAGTTCGCGACCCAAAAAATGTTAGCCGGCAAATTCGAATAATATTTTCAATTGAAACATTGATGTACAATTATGGTTCTAATTTGATTTATTTAAGAGTTAGGGTACCAAAATACAATAATAGCAATAATTAAGGTATCATTTATGCATTTGACCCAAAAAAATAGAAGAAAAAGTCAAAAGTATAGCTAGATCTGGCAGCTCGTAACTTCACGCTGCAAAAAAGGGTCGTTGTGCACAAAGAAGAAAGATAAGTCGCAGAAAGAAGAAATCGAAGGAGGAAACTTTCCAGGAATTTCCTCCTCTATCTTGCTGCCGCGTCATTGTGCAGCCGCTGCCACCTCACCAACTGACAGTGTTGTTTCTCTTCTCTGTTGTGCCTTATTTCCGGTTCGCCACGACGCCACCACACACCTGGCCCTCTACTTCATAACGAAAGGGAAGTGTGGCTCGTAGGACTTTGTCGCAAACCAGAAATGAGGGAGGATAAGGTGAGAAACGAGCATAAATACTACTCCGTACGTAGTAAAAAATTAGGGGTTGGGATGTTTTCTGTTTTTAGTCCCAAATTAGACAATACTTGGATAGTTATATAAAATACTCAGAGACCAGACAATTACCAAATCAGACCAGATCAGATCAGTTCAGATCATACTAAACCAGAACAAACAAGATCAGCTTTGACCGGACCAACAAATTTCAGTTCAAAAGAAAACATAAATCCGGAACACTCTTAAAAGAGAAAAGGGTCAAATAAGACCTTCTACTATTATGAAATAGTCACATAAGGCGATGTACTTAATAAAGTGTCATATAAGTACCTTTACTTGTAAAAAACAATCAAATGAGTCATAACGATCTATTTACAACCTCCTAATCCCGGTTTTAGCTTACATGCCAGATGCTCTTAAAATTCCTCTTTTATATACGGAGTATAATTTAATAAATATCCATATTAATACGGAGTAAGTAGTAGATTCTGAAAAAGTTACCAAATAAGGTGGATTCTATCATACGATCTTTTGTTTCCATATCAATATGCAATAAAAATAGAATGTAATAAAAACAATAAAATGTATAAATAGTAATTAAATAATTGTAATATATGATGACATGGCAGGATTATGTGGCGCGCCATATACTCTTAAAAAGTTCCTCTTATATATATATATATTGATTATTGATAGAACTCTTAATTACCTCCATATTTTAATATATACACAGGCAATATAGTTGCTGAGATCTGTCTATCGAATATAGATATTCATCAAACTTTTTTTGAAAAGAAAAAAAAAGTTTGATGAATATTGATCAAACTAAGGATGGGAAAGAAAAAGTGTTTGGTAGTTGTAGTGGGCATTGTCGTTGTGATAGCCGCAATCGTCTTATGGTCCATCTACGGGTCTCGGTCGTCGGGCAAGAACTCATCAGATCAGAAGCCACCGGAATATTCCTTCACGGATGCCGTCGCGACAAACGTTAGCATTACCGGCGAAGCAACACGCAAGATCTTCACCGCCGACTTCACCTTCACCCTGAATGCCTCCAACCCCAACAAAAACCACACCCTTTGCTACGGCGGCGGGGAGGTGTCATTCTTTGTGAGAAAACGCTCAACCCGGAACCCGCTGGCCTCCGCCGTGACAATGCCAGCCTCGCCGCTTCTCCCCCACGCTTCCGCCCTCTTCACCTACAATCTTCATGCCCAAGGCGTGCCTCTTGACCAGGACTTCTCCTTCTGGTTTTCCCGAATAAATGAAGCCGTCGTCAAGACGAGGTTAGGGGTGAACGTTACGGCTTGGTTTGGTAATGAGAACTCGACGTCGCTTTCATATAGCCGGCGGCTTATAGTGGTGTGCGGTGGTCTGGCCTTCAATTCTACCAATCAGTTACAGACGGATTACCTTTTGTGTGACCCCGATCCATCTTCGAGAAACCTTGACGGTTGACCAACCAAATAATTATTACTCCCTTCGTCCCCTTAAGTTTGGGACGGAGGGGTGTGGTGTGGTTTTTAAGAAAAAGTGGAATTGTGTAGTTGGTATTGAATTGATAAAGTGTAAATAAAGTAAGAATGAATTCTAACCACTCAAATGTTACCAAATATGGTATGGGACAAACTTAGTGGGACGGATGAAAAAGGTAAAACGGGGCAAACTTAAAGGGACGGAGGGAGTACTCCTTACTACGTATGTTGGTGCTTTTCTATTGGTCGAGTAATAATACAATCAGTGTGGTTCAATTGGCTGAGGGAAAATCCTAGCCGCCGCCTCTCCTTCTTCTCTCTTTGTTCAATTTTCGTTTTCTCCTAATAATGAAAAAAGTTTCGTTAGACCAATATTTTCAGTTCTATGTATACATCTGTTTCCTAGCGTTGTCTAGAGATACTACTTTCGGTGGCGAAGTGTCGCTCGCCAGATTTATATTCTCTGTCATCATCGGTCGGGGTGTTTTTGGGTGTTAGTAAGAGATGTGTACTGGCTTCTCTATCGATCATGATCTTCTGTATCAATATAGAGGCCAATCGCCCCCCTCCTGAACCACCGCCGATCAAGGAAGATGAGAGTGAATGGATTGCTTTCTTTCCGGTGGTTGGTTACACCGAAATAATTTCTGCACTTGGCTCCTTACCGGTGGCTGGAAAAACCGGCAAGTTTAACAAATCCTTTTCGGTGGCTTGTCAAACCGGACCTATTTCGAGTAGCACAAGCAGTCAAATTGCGGGACGAGTCTACACAGTTGCAGAGTTAGCGAACATTATAGCTTTTATATGGCTTTTTTGTTCTTTGTCTCACCCTAATGTAGCATTAAACGCTGTGATTGTAATGCTTCGACTTTTGATTGTTATGTTTCTGGTTACCCTTATCAATAATAATTAAGTTATTTGATTTTCAAAAAAAAGTACAATCATTGTAATTCAATCGCATCCACACTAATAGAATTAAAAAAGATGGCTCTTCCTCACCTCTCTAGGGTTTCATTTTCTCTGCTTTCGTTTTTTACTGAACAAAATGCTATATTAACACATGAGCTCCTCCTCCTATCAGGTTGACATTTTAGGATGTAACCCCGGGTCTTAACATTGACGAAGTGCGGCTGTGGTAGAGGCCCGTTCTCCGCTTTTGTTCTTGACGAAGTGCGGACATGGTAGGGGTCCTTGGTAAGGCTAGGAGGTTCAGTTTGCGGCTAGCTGGGGTTCGTGGCTTTCCCACTTGTGGTCTCGATCGCGGCCAATTGTAGGCAGGGCTCAGTTTGTTATATTATTGGCGGCTTGGATTTTTGAGGGAGAAAAACATACAAGGCAACATGATCGAGATTTCTTTGCACCTTGGACATTGATTTCAATGGCAAACTTCAAGGAGCAAATTGGCGAGTGCAAGAAGGATATATAGGGTTTTATACAAATTTTCCAGATGTTGAAATTCTCTTCTCCCATACTATAGTAGCTCTTCCGCCTCTGGAACACCTCCACGCGAAGAAGCAATTTGGGGAAAGTATCTATTTTCGTATTATTTTTCTTTTAGTAGTACTTGTTTTTATTTTAGTTCAAAGATGTATGATTGGAGTATTTTGATTTGTGATGAACTTTTGATAGACGGTGCTTCATTTTCATCGTTTAGGCTTACTCTTGTTTGTTTTGCGTCTAGCGAGTCAAGTTGCTTTGTATGAGTGATTGACACTAAGTCTATTCCTAGGGCTTATGATTGGATATGTAATAGCTGTCTGAAACTCAGAATATTGTCTTGCATGTTTGCTCTAGTTTAATGAATTCCGTTTTGACGATAAAAAAATCTTTATGAGTTTTTTTTAATTAATTAATCATTTAGTGTTTCATATTATTCCTTTCTATTTTGAATAAACTTCCATTGCGATTGTTTTAGTTTATTATTCAATTTTTACAAATTTACGTGACAGAGCAATGCCAATACAAAAATTGTCTTTGTAGTGTACCCATTTTTATATCCACCTTTTGAGAATTGATTAGATCGAGCCCTCCCCTGTCAGGCCGCCGTTCGATCTCCACCGTTTGGGGAGGTCACCGGTGAAATTTTTTGATGAATTTTTTTTAGCATGTTCCTTATCAAGTCTAGTTGGTCCATACCAAATTTCAGATCGAAATTCAATCGGGAAGGCAATCAAATCATTTTTTGAAGTTGACTGCGCTAAAATATACATATAAAAATGCAGTCAACTTCAAAATATGATTTGAATGCCTTCCCGATCGAATTTTCAGCTGAAATTTGGTATAGACAAACTAGACTTGATGAGGAACATGCTCAAAAAATTGCATCAAAAAAGTCTACCGGAAACAGCCCCAAACAGCGGAGTTCGGATGACGGCCGGACAAGGGAGGGCTGGTCTTGATCATTTCCGTCCACCTTATACCCGCTATACCGCCTATATATACCCAAAAACATTACCACTTCTCACTCCCATCTCAAAAATCTAAGGGGTTTTTATAAGAAAATTACTAAAATAAAACTTATTTATATAAATATGACTATTCATTACTACAACGTAGTGTTGTGGTAACTTAGGATGTTTTTACTTGGACCGTAATTTGTCTCAGAGCAGAGCAGACCATATCAAACCATAACAGACCAAACCAGACTTGGATAGTTATAAAAATACAAAGAAACCAGACCAGACCATACCAGAAAATTACAATCCAAGTAAAAACATTCATCAAGTGTTCCCGGGAATAGACCAGATCAGTCCACACATTTCTGCCAAAACATTCATCAGAATAGACGTAATGAATAAGATGCTCAAAAACATTCATCAAAAAAATCCACCGGGAACTGTCCAAATGGCGACGGCCGAACAAAATCTCCTATATAAGGGCTCATTTGAACTTTATACAGAGTTTTCTTAATTTTTTACTTCAGGCCCGTTAGTTTCTCCCCCTTCCTTCTTTCTGTTGTTCTTTTTCAATTTCATTTGCTCTATGTATTTTCCCCTTTGAGATTTTAATAAAATAGCTAAATGTTCCCCAACGTTTACCCTCCGCAATGGTGGATCCTCGAAAAAAACCAGGGTTACTTCAAACTATCTTATTGCATTAATATAATAATATCTACAATTATGTTAAATATATAGGTATTTTTATGACAAATAAACAAAAATTTGTGTTGGGATATAAAAAGAGAAAATTAAATAAAATTAATTGAGAAGAGATTTTTTTATCGTAAATTGAGAAGAGATTTGAATAGTTTTGTTTCTCATATGCCGTGGGCCTCCAAAATGCTAAACCCGTCCCTGCTCAGATGTGATTCAACCGTTACATCATATGTTAAAACAAAAAGTGAAAAGTGGTAAATAAGATATCAAACTATTCGCGATTCTGCAATCAGACTTCTGAATTGAAAGACTTACAAGTACACCTTTCAACCTATTAGAAATTATGTAATTAGATGATATCCTTTATGCTTGCTACTCTGCTAGTGCCGGTAATTTCTCATGAGAAAGTCATCTCTTTATCTGCATCGGGAGGTAAAAATGATGTTATTGCTTAATTTTCAATGAGTTGATTGGTTTATTTGCAAGTCTTTGGTTCAGGGGCCTAGTTGCAGAATCGGCAATAGTTCAAGATCTTATTTGTCCTATTTCTCAAAATAAAAAGTATGACTATTAATTATGCGAGTTGTAGTATATATACGGATTGCTATCAATAAATACAATTTGTTCGTTACACCTTACACCGTCTATATTGCATTAGAGATGACCCCATACATCTATTTTGTAATCGGATCAAAACGCATGTGGCGCTTATCTAATAGAAGTGCCTCCAATTGGATTCCCATAGGGGTGTGTTAGAGAGTTGGATTTTGGAGGGAGAGGAAGGTTGATAGGGAGTTTATGACCCTCCTTTTCCTGTTTGCGAGTTTATAAAATTGGAGGGGATGGTTTTTAGTTCCCTCAATTTCGAAGTTTTGAAGGATAATTAACAGAGTGATAATTTAAACTCAATTAAAAATAAATATCAGTTCAATTATTTGAATTCATCATATCTCAAATTAATTTTAATTATAATTCATTCAAAAACTCCCTTCTTCCACATTTATTACTCCCAAAGCCTTCCCCTCCCCTTCCCTCCAAACTCCCAAACATACCCTAAGGATGTGTTTGAGGATTGATAACCCTCCTTTTTGTGTTTGTGATTTTAAAAATGTGGGGAAATGATTTTGGAAGGTTTTTGACTTTTTGTGACCCGCAAAAAACCTCACAAATACTCATCTTTTAAGCTCCTCCAAAATGAAGGGTTTTGAAGGATGACTAAATAAATGATAATTTAAACTCATATTAAAATGAATACCACTTCAACTATTTGAGTTCACCATATCTCAGAAGTGATTTTAATAAAAAATGTTTCTTGTAAGATTCTAGATTTTCAAATTTATTACTCCCAAATAAGAAGGGTTTCCACACCTTCCCATCCCTTTCCTCTCCAACAACTTACCCCAATGTGCGACCAAAGATGAGAGTGCACAACTCTGAAATGCTGAAACGACAACTCCTAGCGTTCGATGTTTGCCCCCGACTTCAAACCAGGGTTACTTCAAACTATCTTATTGCATTAATGTCTACAATAATGTTAAATATATAGGTATTTTTATGATGAATAAACAAAAAATTGAGTCGGGATATAAAAAGAGAAAAATAAATTGAGAAGAGTTACTTTTTGGTCGTAAATTGAGAAGGGATTTAAGTAGCTTTGTTTCCCATATTGTATGTTTATATGCATTTTACCTTTTATAAAAATCACATTAATATAATATGTGATTATTCAGCATTTCCGCCTCAGACCTTGACATTCATGTAATTTCCATGTTTATGTTTGTGTTTGTAATTAGTTTTGATTGATTGTTACTTTGGCAATTACAAACTTTTGGTATAATAGTTTAGTTTGTAAAATATTTGTAATTTGTTTAGATTAGATTTATTCTGAGCTCAAACAGATCCATGATCACTCAAGGGACCATTGGTGAACCCCAAAAGTGGAAGGAAGGTGAAAGATTACAAGACAAAAATAGAGGATTCTGAATTTTGACCTGTACGCGGTCGGGTATACCCTATATCTGATCTGGTACCTTGCTGAAAAATCAAATCGAATCAAATCAGGGAACAAGGCAACGTGCAGGAGGATATTTGACCACATTTAAGTGTAGTACCCGATCAGGTAACTGATGTACCCGGTCAGATATGTCCCACTTTTTCAGCTTCCGGGAAGCTACTGAAGGTACCCGATTGGGTGCCCAATATGCTCGATCGGGTACACATCCCTACATGCTCCATTCTCCCTATAAATACACCTCTTTCCTTCACACTAAAAGGACCAATTCGCATATACTTCTAAGCTCAGTTTAGACAAGTTCTTTCTCTATATTTTCATCATGTTTAGTCTCCAAATGAAGAGCTAAACTCTAGTCTTCCATCTTGGTTTTGCTACTTTGAAGCTTAATGAATTGCAAGTTGTGATCGACTTATTTTCTTTAATCTTCTTCCTTGAATAATAAATAATTCATATTCCTATTTCATATTAATATTTTGAGCATTACTTAAAGGATCAACTAGTTTTGTTTTATATATTAATTATTACTAGAATCGATCGACGAATATGCTTGTTAATCGTTCGGTCCTTTCACAGTAGTAAACTTAGATTATTAATGCATGCGTCTCATGATTAAATTAATAACCTAAGGGGAATTAATTATATTAATTAAACTGATAAACCGCTTGTGTTAAGGGTATCAATCTCATTCGTTTTCATCTTAAATTAATTGCTACTATCAGGTTAATATACGACGCTTGTTCTATATTGACTGCATAGTAAGTTTTATTAATGAACGCATCTCGTTATTAATAACTAACCTCGATGAACTGGATATACTCCTCGATTGAGTATTCGAGAGGAAGATAATTAATG